GGATGTCTGATTTATGTTAAAAGATAACTTTACTTTGCAAAGCTTGTGCATGTTTCAACCTGTACCAAAGAATACTGGATGACTTTCTATTACTTGCTTGAATTCTGTCAGTGCATAAGCTCCGATCACAGAGTCACTTCTTATATGGTGTGACCTTATTGATGATCAGTAGCTTACCATAACTGTGTGTCTTCATCCAGGAAATTATAAACACAGATTAGAACAAAGTGCATTACAGTATGCTCCCAGAAAGGAACATTCCCATATTGCCAGTCTGATTCCTATAGAGGTGAGACCAGATGTGTTTTACATAATAAATTCATTTATTTATCGTACTAAACTTTGTAACTTCTGTAACTCAGATTTTTCCTTAAGCTTTAAAACAGTAAAATGTGCAAAAACTTGTTGAATTTATACACATGACTACAGTGTTCTTATGTGCTTAGAGTGCTTGTTATTGCAATGTGGCGTATATGAATTATTAAAATGCAGATTTTTGGCAAAGTGAGGCTCTAATCCATCTGCTGGCTGCATCTTGGACTTTTAAATTGTTCATACTTCTACAGCACATGGTATCATAAATTGGATCATCAGTGGTTAAATTTTTAACCACTGTGCATTATGACATTGACAGAAAAAGCAACCATATCCCAGACAAAGAACAGGTTCTTCTAGTTAAATTCTAAGAAAATCCAACTCTTTCTCTCTGTACCAAGCAGGTTTGCATGGCAGTGACACTCTAGACTTGTTTTCAGAATTTAGAGGGCTACAGGATCTCATAACCCCCCATTTTCATGTTTTTCGTCGGTCTCTCAAGACAAATTCAAATAGTCCAACTCATCACCTACTCACCATTCATATCATATTACCATCTCCTTTGATATCATATACCCTGTATTATTGAAACTGTGTGAAATAGTGGTAGTGAAATATGCTACAATTATCAGTTATTTTTTCTCTGTAATATAATTTGAAAGTCTGTTAGTTCTTTGTGGGTCTTACTCATAATGAACTTCAGACTGTACACCTTATATCTTACTAATGTTTATTTTAATTCCATTTTATGTAAGACATTCTAATATTGCCACTCAGTTATAAGAACATATACTTTAGCATATATGAGGCTGCTCTATGAATAGAATACAGTAGTTTCAACAAGAATGATTGGGAAATGCTGCTCTAGTGTCATGGTAAATGCTCCTTAATAGAGCTCAGTTTCAGTGAGCACAGCAAAAGAAACATAAACATGTACCCTCAGGATGGAATTATTTCTCCCATTTTTATCTGAACAATGTGTCATAAGCAATAAAATTTAAACAACCCAGAAAAATCACGTAGAAAAGACAAACACTAAAACTATACAAAGGTTTAATTCAAGAGTTGATCCTGTGTTTTAGTGGTGCACAATATTTTCATAAATGCTAATAGTCACATAGAAGAACCTTCAGGCGAATATATAAGGCACATATTAATATATTAACATTCTGTAACTATTCACTAAATTTCTGAAAATAGAAAAATAATTAAAAATAAACTTTTCACACTATACTTACACATCACAAAGGCCAATGCAATCCAAACATACAAAAGACAGAATGTGACAAGAGAAACATTTCAATCTGCCATTTGATGCAACTATTCAAGGATTCACTGACCAATAAATAGACAGTGGTCACAGTTTATTTGTCTGAATGATACACAGTATGCACTTTTTTTGTTCCTTGGACGGAAACTTGGAAGCCACTATCAGATTTTTATTGACTGTCTAGTATTGGGTTCTTGATAAGTTTTCTTTGGCACTGAAAATGACTAAGAATAAGTTTTGCTACATAATATTTGGCGCAGTTTCTAAAGTCTGTTGGACAACAGTATTTGTAAATCCATACAAATATATTATTTTCTCTGATAAACAACATGGGTCACTGCCCTTATCACATAAGCACTATAGTTACAAGAAATGTATAAACAAATGAGCTGATAAGTTCAAGTGTTATACAATATATTGCAGCTGAAACAACTTTAATAATAACAACTAATAATGATAATAATCCAGAGTTCATAAAACTGAATAATCAGTTTTAATAATTGTTCCATATACATAAATATATTTCAACTTCACAACCCAAGAAAAATGCACTACAGATGCAGAAGCTGTATTGAACCAACCATTTCCATTTGCTCAGTTTTACATGACCAAATACATAAATATGTGGTTTTGTGGATTTTGACACCCTGTGGTATGATAGAAAGATTTTTTAAAGAAAATACTGCTTCCATGTTCAGGGTAGAAGTAGACCTACCGGCCTACACAGTGGTAGATACTATTTACTGCAAGCCACTTTAATTCGTTGCTGTGTGTGCCTACTTATACATAGTAAAGATTGCGCTGCTGTTCTTAGAATGCTTTTTCCAGAAAATGAGGAGAAAGTATCCAACAGTCTTGTGTACTGCTTTGCTCAGAGTGAGTACACATGACTACTAAACTGATTTCAGTGGTTTGGTATTGGAGTCTGTACTGAGACTTATCAAGAGAAATTATTTTGGTTTGTATTGCTCCTATATACCCACTACGTGAAGTTCTAATTGTAGTCTGATTTTAAAGAATGGACTGTCTTACAAATAAGTAGCATATGGCATAAAATATGAATCTCATTAAAGATGTATAACTTTGATTTGGAATGTTTGTGATCTTATGAATGTTTTACAAAATAAGAGAGAAAGTAATTTATGGCTGTATGCAGTGTGATATATGTAGCATGACAGTTTACAACAGATTTGTTGCTGCAGCAAATTAACATAAGGCCAGTGAGGTATGCAGAATCACATCTAAAAAAGTTCCATCATGTTTATATGTTTGGAAATAGCAATTGCTAATATTTCATTACCTTCCCTGTATTAAATTTTTTTCTAACAACAAGATTCTAAGACAGGTTGAATCTCAAGCTTTCTTTTTAACAGTTGCCTAAAATTGGAATTTCTTGATAGCTAGGTGACTGTTAGCTCCTCATGAAGGGTTGTGCACCTCAAAGTCACATTACCTAAAATTTTTAAAGATATATTACATATTCCTGATATGTGTAAGGTGTAAAATTTTTCCAACCATGGACATTTACAGTATGGGTATTTATGTAGACAATTAAGATACTACCTTATCATTTTATTTTCAACATTTTGTGAAATGTGAAATGCTTTGTAACTTTCTGTTATGCTATTAAATTCGCACTATCCCTGCCCTAAGAGACCAGTTAATACACTATCACCACAGTTTTGTATGTTTGGTGCAGCAAAGGGTTAAACCAAGTTATGGACTGCTGGCTGTACATCAGTTTAAATGTACTATCTTTAGAATGTTATATGCGGAAGGAACATTCAATTTGCTAATATTACATTAGACAAGGCAAAGAATTAAACCAAGTTATGAACAACTGGCTGTCCATGTTCAGTCTTAATTCACTGAATATACAAGTGACAGTATCAATACAGCTTCTAATTTATTGAGATACTGAGAATATTTCTGGCATGCACCATGAGCAAACATATCAGTTGTCTGAGCATCAGTGAGTTCAAGTGAGTTAACTTAAGCAGTCTTAACATTAAGTAAAAATATTGCCTCTGCCGGCCTCTGAACCAGTGTTGCTGTACTGATCTTCTTTTCTATCAATAGTATTTTATTTTACAGAATTAATATACAGAAATGTTGGAAATTTGTAGGTAAAAGCCTGGTGAATCAGATTACATAGCAGAATGGAATGTAACAAAGAAACATGGTGAACACAGAACTGTATAAGTTAAGAATGAATTAAGTACATACAAAGTTTAAGGCTTGTAAGTGGCATATGCTCTAGTTACATGTAAATTGTTTAAGATGAGGGGTCGAATATTACAGGCCCAGTAAGAGCTGGTACAGCCATTGACAGAATACCCAACACTGCTTTCTGCCAATGAGGAGATGGCAGACTGAAAAGAAAGTGCATGAAATTTTATCATTATCATCATCATTCACTTCCTTAAACCATTTTCCTTTTTTTGGCATCCATGTTTGTGCCCTCATTGTATGTCTGTTCTCACTAGCTGGGCATATGCCCAGCTAGTGAGAACATACATATGAAGGGGGCACAAACATGGACGCCAAAAAAGGAAAATAATGCAGATCAGAGAGAGTATTATTCTCAAACAAATATGTTTTAGTGTGAGCAATGATATGCAATAGCATGGAAATATATTGACTTAAGATCTAGTGCAGTGTGACAGTTTTTGAACAGTAAACAATTGCCTGAAGATGGCCAAGTAAGGCTGAAACATGTAGCAATTGATGAAATTTTAACATTATTTTAAATTAAAGGTAGATTGTGAACAGTTTTAAGTTACATGAAAGACAGAGGTGAATAAGTGAGTCTGGGTCTCCTGCCTGTTACCTTACTGACTGACCTATCTGTACTGCTATATAACTAATTTATTTTCAATTTAAAAGCAATGGATTCTCTGTTGGAGTTATTTTAAGATCTGGTGGTATTTTGAATGAATATATGGAGGAATGGAAAGGAAACTGCACTGCACAATGTGCTGAGGTGGATCTGGGGTTTGAGAAGCCACAGCCATGCATGTTTCAGTAAATGCTCATGCCTTTCTCATCTTACGCAATTTACATCACTAGTCCTCCTCCTTGTTAGCCACTCTTCAGCATTTTATATTACATTCCATATTGTGCATTATAATAGCATGTTCTTCTGTCCACACATTTTCAATGTATGATCCAACTTGCATCATCAAAATGAATAACCAATGGTAAGTAAGTAAGTATCCCTGTAACAGGCCGTGAAGGCCCATAGGGTTGTGGTTGAGGGTCCCACACTATCTAGACAATTGGCGGTAAGGTTGTCAGCCTTTATTAATTATTTAATTAATTTCTGGTACTCATTTCTGTTAGAGGCTGAGTAAACCCCAGGGCTTAGTGCGGATGGTAGGATTAGGTCAATTGAAAAAAATCCAATGACCTCATCAGGACTTGAACTCGCGACCTTTCGGCTTGTAGCATAGCCCCTCAACCAACTACGCTACTGCATGCCCCCTGAATAACCAATGGTTCTCAACTTTTTCTAATTCACAGACCAGTAAAACAACAGTCAGTTTACAAAATATGAGTGCCCTGTCTGTGTCACATTGCACAGCACAAATAATAGGGTCCAAATTAATTATTACTAGCTTATCTAAACATTTTTATTTACAGTTATAACATTTATGCAATATTAAATCAAAGAAACATCTTAATCACCCACACTGAACTTTAAAAATTAAAATTATATAAGAAGTTATATGAAATAGTTTGCTTCAAATCTTCCATATTGTCCAGCCAGTATATAATGGAAAGGAGGACCAGTAATCATAATTATGTTATATAGTGAGATCTCTGTAGAAAAAAATAGCAGTAAAGTATATATATATATATATATTATAATGCTAACTCGAATTTGCAGACCAGCATATGTTAAGTTGTGAACCATTGGTTGAAAAACGGTGGTCCTAACTTGAGATGCTTCTGCTGTTATACTATCTCATGCACTGCAGATCTGAAAAAAAATTGTTTGTATATACGTCCTTGTGCTTCTACTTTAAAAGTGTTAATTTGCTGTGCATGCTATTGCACATAGATAGAGTTTATTTTTGCATTGAAATGGCATATAATTTGTCCTTAATTTTCCACTTATCTCTGTCAATGAAAGTAGCAGAGCAATAACATATAAATTAAAAATGTAATCTTAGAAATTATTGGCATGACATCTTAATTCATACATATTTCTATGGTGCTGCATATAAATTCGTACCTCAAAGTAAAGGTGTAATTGAAAGCCCAGTGAAGAACCATAAAATATTTGTTTAAGCTTGCCATCTCATTAAGGCTAAGTATTAAAGGCCAGGTCTATTTATACACATGCAGTAGAGGTTCCAAATCTGTATGATTCAACATGTGTTTTTGCTAGTGCCCAAACAGCTGGATGAATTTTATTCATATTTGATGTGTGAGAGTTTGTCATAGGGCAATGCCTGGGTTATAGGAACATCCAAAAATCAGGGCCCTTTAGATGGACCCCATAACACAAAATGGCTTAAAGGATTTTGTCTAAATTCAGTAATTTTTGACATCTATCTAAATAGAACTACATAGGTGATATCTTCAGGAAAGAAACAGTACGTGCACTAGGGTCCTAGTCATATAATGTCAGTTTTATCAAAATCATCTTTACTGGTCAGGTGTGTTTTGTTGTTGTTTGATAGAATTCCCAGCATTTTATGGAACCTGAAGGTTCATTATCATGTTCAAAAGAGCCCTCCACTGGTCCCTATCCCGAGCCAGATCAGTTGTTATTTGCTATTCAACAACAAATAACAGTCTGTCAAACAACAGACAATTTTGGTTCCAAGGTAACATAGTCTGTGTCAATTACATATTTTTTCACTGATTTTTTATTGTGCGAGACTAAAACTTGGGAATGAAACCACTTCTAGAGAGATGGCTAGCTTGTTTACTTTTTCATTCTAAATTTCATGGTTTAAAGATGTAACTTACAGGTAAGAATATTATGCAGATAATTGAATATTAGGTAAAATAAGAAAAAGAGCACCAATCATTGCAGGGGCCCATGCAGAAGTGATGGGAGGAGAATGACATATATTTAATTACACTATTCAGACTAAAACAGTTTTCGTGCATCTGATATTCTCCTTCCACTGGGCACCAAAGTAAGTTCTCCCTTTCTCGTCTTATCTGATATTTAACCTTACCAGGCCTTTTCCTGTGAAAAATTCATGATACTTGGAGACACGAACTCACAGTTGTTCTGCCTATTCTTGTGGTCGAGTGGGGCAGTTAACAATGCTACCTCATATAAATGAGGTGAAGGTGGTCCCTGCAATATTTGTAATAACGAGTGTTGAGGGAAAAAGGAAAGAACACAGATGCACAAAAGAAAATAACATTAAATGATAGCCATTCCTAATTAGTACTTATACTAAAACCAGTTTATAAATTAAATTACCAAGGACTGATTACAGTGGTAAGGTGAATTTGTCTCAGATGCATTATGTAGTGAAGACAAACTATTGGTAATATATTACTGTCCTTGTTATGTTACACTAAATTAAATGAACTTCCTGCAGTGCCATAGCAAAGCTAGCAAACCAGTACACATATGGGAAACTAAATTAAATGAACTTCCTGCAGTGCCATAGCAAAGCTAGCAAACCAGTACACATATGGGAAACTGAATTAAATGAACTTCCTGCAGTGCCATAGCAAAGCTAGCAAACCAGTACACATATGGGAAACTGAATTAAATGAACTTCCTGCAGTGCCATAGCAAAGCTAGCAAACCAGTACACATATGGGAAACTGAATTAAATGAACTTCCTGCAGTGCCATAGCAAAGCTAGCAAACCAGTACACATATGGGAAACTGAATTAAATGAACTTCCTGCAGTGCCATAGCAAAGCTAGCAAACCAGTACACATATGGGAAACTGAATTAAATGAACTTCCTGCAGTGCCATAGCAAAGCTAGCAAACCAGTACACATATGGGAAACTGAATTAAATGAACTTCCTGCAGTGCCATAGCAAAGCTAGCAAACCAGTACACATATGGGAAACTGAATTAAATGAACTTCCTGCAGTGCCATAGCAAAGCTAGCAAACCAGTACACATATGGGAAGAGTACATAACTGAACATGTACATTTTGTTGTATTTACTAAGAATTAAGAAATTCTCATATAATTTCCTTAAAGAAAACCAGAAGGGTTACATCTACTGTCACCTGACTGTTATAACTTATTCGTTCAGAAACTTTTGAACAGAATTTCAATTGTAGGTATTAAAATGTGGTTTTATAATGTTATGTTGCTTTGTATATATGAGGTGTTGTTCAAATGAAAGCCATTTATGGTGCTGCTAATGCATATGGAAGTTGCAGGTAATGACATGGCTGTGTGCATGTGACAAACCACCAGCTGACCAAAAGCTGTACAACAGGTGTGTTACAGCAAATGGGAGCAGTGCATAATCATCCAGACAGGACCAACAAGGTGCCATGCAGTTGTTGGTGCCAAAACTCGTGGAAGAATTTGTGGTATGTATGAAAATGTGTATCTCAGAAGCATTCTGGCATGCTTATGAGGGGGTCATCATATTGCATGACGATGGCCATTTCTATGTACCCACACTGTCCAAGGCACAGCATTCTCCATGTGTTCAGGCGGCCCCCAAGAAAGTACTAAGGGCTGTAGATTTAGGTTGAAAGAAGATATGAAGGCTGTAGTGGTGCAGTGGTTACAGCAGCAGCCCAAGAAGATCTTTATGGAGGAGATCCATCAGCTGATATGCCAATGGGATGCCTGCCTCAGTGCCGATCAAGATTACTCTTAATAGCCTCAATTGTCTCATCCAGAACAATCCCAGAATAGAATTGATGTAAACAGACTTCATGATAAATCATCTGTGCTGGGTGAAGTATGAATTTTGTGTGTACTTCGAACTTCAAGGAGTTTCATAATTATGAGAGTTATGATATTATGCAATTCAGGTTACCATAGAAGCAAACTGTTGAGTGTTAATACATTGCATGAACATAAATTATGTACTTGGTCATGAACAAGCACACAGTCTTTTGCGTCAGTGTGTCATGTCTATTCTGTGAGTATTAATAATATTCTGATGTGGATATGTGAAATGTAATATACCTCAGTAACATGTAGGAGCAGAAAGAAACACAAGAGAAAGCAGGGGATATTAATAGTACAAAAGCCTTTATAACAAATAATGAGACTTCTAGTTGAATTCTGAACAAGTGTTGCACTAGTACATGTTTATATATTAATATCATTTTCATGTTTTATGAAACAACAGAGTATGAAGGGCTACTTGGAGAGAACAGCATTCCAAGATATTTTTGGTCCTCAGGGAAATGTTAGTAATCATAGATAATTCAGTGACCAGTATCAGTATGACAGTCTATGAAACCTAAGAAGTTTTAGACACACATGTTGAATAACTGTTCTGTTAATAGGAATATAAAACATTTTCAATAACAGCATGATGTAATGGGACAGTATAGTCCCATTTGGCTTATTACAAGTACATATCACTGGAAAAGGAATCTCTTGTAAGCCAGTAAAGAATAAGATTCATTTTAATATTATCTTCCATTCTTTGATTCGGTCCCTTCATATTTTCTGACCAGAGTTATATATATGCACTTCCCATCTTTCCCAAGCATGCTACATGCCCTGCCCAAATTGTCCTGATTTATTTGATCATCCTGATAATATCTTGTGCAGAGTCAAACTTGTAAAATTCCCCATTCTCAAACACCCTTAATGTGACAGAGCAAGTTTCACACCTATACAAAACAGCAGACAAAATTGTACATACTTTGAATATTTTAATCTTTATGTTTGTAAAGAACAAATGAGAGAGGATAAAGAACCTGAACCGATGGAAATGTGCATTCCAAGAATTCAATCTGCTCTTATTTTCTATGTAAATGCAGTTTTGATTTTTCACTGTCATTCTAAAATTTTTTATAGATACATCAAATTAAAAAAAAAAAAACATTATTAATAATTAATTCAGATATGATGTCCTAAACTGACTGGTGCATTAAAATGAATCCAAAATGTGTCCTGCACGTCTTTCTAATATCTAGTTATAGCTCTGTTACATGGAAATAAAATACATGTATTGTGGGATACAAAGGTTTTAGTCCTGTCAAAAGCTTGATTGGTGCCTTCCCCCCCCCAATTACAGTAATTTGTCTGTTATGTATGAGAAAACAGTCATTGATAAATTATTAATAATGTGTGAGCACCTTTATAAGCCAGACAGTAGGGACAGTACTGTAGGAAATGTAAATGAGTCGTTTACATTCCCTACAATACGGACAATACTTTGTGAGATGAGGCACTGACTAATATTATAATTTACTTTACTACATCTACATTACAAGCCTCATACACAATTTATATACGCATAAGTATGAATATTCCAACTTGTCCATAGGAACGAAACAAATCACAAACCAACGACTGACATGTTGATGTAAAAACCAAAAGAATTTTATTCTTATTTTATATCATACTTCCGTTTTATATAACTTGATTTATTGTGTTTTTTACGTCAAGCGTTTTTTATATATTTTAATAATATTGTGTCCAATTTTGTTGGCGCTGCAGTTCAGTGGTGTGTATATGTGTGTAAATAATCTGTTTGCCTGATGATGGCTATCAATAGCCGAAACATGTAGCATGGTCAGAAATGGTCTGATCTTGATATTAGTTGTGTTGTGACGGATATAATACAGATGTTGTATATTGTAACACAGCAGGATGCATGAAATGAAAATTAAGCAAGACAGTTCTTCATTTGCAGTATTTTGCTGACCTTTGACCTTCTGATGGTTTTATTTCATGGGTGTTCAGTGTACAGAGTGACTTATTTTGCCTTTAGCATTTTTGTTCATGTTGCTTCTCCATCTGCTTTGAACTGAGTGACTCTTAGAGAAATATTAAAATAGTGATTCAAACTTTATGGCTTCAAGCACTGGCAGCTATACAACATAGTGCTCTGAAATGTTATATAATTTTAGTACAAGGTTTTAATAAGCCTATTTTCCTTAATAAGGCAAAATTAGATGACAACTATTTTAAAATTTTAAAACCTGTGTGCTGCTGCAGGCATGAACATGAAATTTGATAAATATCTCCAACTCTAAATGTAAATTTGTGTGTATGTTTGAATAGATCTATTTGGTTGTAAAATGAGAAACATGATGGTTTAACATATTTTTGGAATAAAAATTTTCGTACTTTTTTTATGACGTGCATCAGTAATACTAAAATTTTTACTAGTGATTGAAGCAATAAATAAATCAGGGCTATACAAACATTTATGAGTAAAAAACATGCTAGGCTTAATATTTTCAAGCTTTGACAAGATCTGTGTTAGCACATGAAACAAAATGACAATTTAGAAGGATTACATATTCAGCTAATCATCAGATTTATACAAAATCGCCAGACTAACTGGAAAACAACAGAATATGAAAATGGATTATAGCACGCAAGCCTGGGGAGAAGACAAGTTTAGGAATAGCATTGGAGATGTGGCATGAAACCCACAGGCCATGGACCTGACAGCATGGTGGTGGTGGCGGTGATGAAGAAGAAGAAGATGACTATTGTTCAAACCCAAAAGGAGGGGATTTTCAGGCTGGTACGGATGTGAAGTTGCTTAACTTGTGAAGGCACGACAAGGATAATGTTAAAATAATAAAGCTGACTTCCAATTAGATTTTTGGTACATTTTTGAGTTCTGTATGAAATCTGTGTGACAGCACCAGCCAGACATATATCTTTGATTTACTTTGTGCAATTCTGAAAATTAAGAAACAAGGTTCGATTGCGATGGCACTGTTTTGTTCTGTTTAATATGTGGATTCAGGTTCCATGCTGGGTTCTTGTTTAAAGGCAATCCTAAAAGGATGCTCTTGTTCAGGTAAGTGCATGTCACTACGGAGAATTACCACAGGTGGTTGGCCGGGTGTGGTCCCATTGCTCATTGGTGGGCTGCCAAGGTGCCCATTGCTGTGTTGCATATGTTGTGGTGGACTGTTGCACTGGGCTGAGCCTGGAGGGGTTAATGGGCTCCCTGGTGACCCTCCAGAACTACCTTGATAACTGCCTGCAGTAGTTGATGTGTTGTTCTGCTGAAGGTTACCATCTGCTGTGGCTCCTATGAATGCATTTAGAGACACTGAATATTGTTATGAGCATTAACAAGGAAGGTGGAGACTAGCAAAATATAATAAATGTAATAATAACTGTTGGAATAAAATGAAGTTTCCTCACATTGGTAGTACAGTTTGAAGAAACAGAAAAATCAGTAATCAACTACAGACAGAATCTGTAGAGCTAGAAAATCTCAGACTGATAGAGAATTGTTCAGAATTGGGAAATATCAGTAATGATTAGAATAATATAATACAGAACATACTTTTGTCTGTTTTTACACATGAACAGGAACATGGAAATGGACTGCTAAGGGAGAGGCAAGGAGATCAGCTGTCCAGGTGAAGTTGCTACTGAATATTAAGAAATTAAAGGATATAATAGGAAACAAGGACATAGTCAGATCTGAAAGTTGAAACTGTTCAAGACAAATTGGAGAAATTAAGGATATGTGGTATTGACATATGTCATGTAAGGAGAGAAGTAGAAGTACACAGAGAGCCTCAAGATAATGATGGTAGATGGAGACCACAGGGAACACAACTATATATAGAGGCCGAAGGAAAGAGTGGATGCATGTATAAAGAGACATTACTTAGCCAAGCAGTTTAAGGCATGTACTGTCTTTGCTCACTTGGAAACCAGGATCATGGATTCGAATCCCACTCAGGGCATGAATGTTTAGTTTGTGTGTGTGCCTTTTTCTGTGTTTGTGTACAGGTAGAGGCCTTGCGACGAGCTGATCACCCGCCCAAGGAGTCCTACCGAATGTGTAAGATCTAGAAAAACCAAAGTGAATGGAGAAGTTCATAGGGGTAGGCCTAGGCCCACTGGGGCTGTAGTGCCAAGGGGGATAGAAAAAGAAAAGGATGAAGAATACTGTATCTTAAGATTACTGATCCTGCGGTTGATGAATTATGGTGGTTATGATAAGCATATCAAATGTGGTAATGGTATGTAAGTGGCTTAATAACATTATACTACTGTTAATATTTCTATAAAATAACAGCACTGGATCTGATGTGACTTATCAAAATTGCCAATGAATAAGAGAGCAAAACAAATTTTATATCAAAATATACATGTGGCTATAAAATGGAAACCGGGTTAGCTAGAAGCAGAAATTGAAAACTAAGCCTATTGTCTTCTAGGATGTGAGGCCATGTAGTTTGGTAGGTAGGTTCCAATATTTTGGATGAACCAACTGCCTTTGTCTTCCAGATTGAAGATCCTCATTAAGATGGAGGCAGTGGGTACTTATCTACCAAACGACATGACATCATATCACAGAAGTTAACCTAATTTCCTCAAATCTCTTACAGGGAGTTAAGAATTCACAGCAGATATATCCAGTTAATGAGATCAAATATATGACATATCAAACTACACTGAAAACTGCAGAACAGTGGATTCCAAAGAAGAAAACTCCAAATTACATAATTTTCTGGAGGAACAGTCTACAGGTTTCAAAATCAGACAAAATTCTATGGAAAAAAACAAATAAATAAAGACCCATATAATTTACAAGAGTGGAGTGGAGAAATAATTTTATCCGAGGCAATTCATGACCTTCTATAAAAATACATAACTTTAAACTTACCACCCAGTAGCATTTCCTGTAACAGACTATCAATGCGTGCCACACCAAACAACTTGGCAAACTGGATCTGTTCAATCATCTGCCATGTAATGGACTGCAATGCAGGTAGAGTGAGGAGAATTTCTCCAAATCGACCTCTTGAGTCATACTGTCGATCACTGATGTAATCTTCCAAATTAATTTGGATCTGATAGCGCAGACTCTTAATTCTGTTTGAATCACTTAATCCTTTTGCATCTGAAAGTTAAATATGACAAATTTTCATTCCTTAATGGAAAGCACAGTGCCAGTCTTATGCTAATTTCAACAAGATGATAAAAGTTGCATAGCTACAATATATAAAATTAGTGAATCATGATGTGTTGAGCTGACTACATGCTGGATGGCCAGGGTTTGATACCTGACACTACAATATTAGTTGAAGGCTTTAAATTATGAAGGTCCTTCCCATATCTGTTATAGAAAATTGGATACTTGTGTATGTGTATAATAATGCAAATGTGTGTAGATCTTCATTTTATAATATAATCACACATGTGTAGCACCAATAGAATTTTGGTCACATGAAAATAAGGGCACAGCACAAATAAATGTGTGACTAGGATTGTGAAAGATCACAAAAAAAGATGTTGATGAGGACATGGTATGACAAGACACACAGGTAAATGAAGAGGATGAAGGGCTAAAAGAACAAGATAAATGCAATTTGTAAAAATAAAAACTAGTGTGTAGATTAATTAAATAGTAATATTATGTTTTAAATTAATAAGGACCTTCAGTGAGAAAACTTTATTGCGTGGTAAGGAATTAGAAAATCAAATATGTAATTCCATTATCAACAGTAAAACAGTGTCAGAAAATATGGAATTCAGATTTTGGTTCAGGCTTTTAATAATCAAGATAATACAAGCATTTGCTTTTCTTAAATTGAAAATTGTTGTGTAACCACAGCTGTTTGGTGCAGAAAATTTAAACCTGTATTTAAATGCCTGACAATGCAATGTTAACAAAATGACCCAGATTCCAGACAAAATGAAATTCAATAGTAAATAAACATATGTCAATTGTATGCTCTTGTAAGTGTACATGCATTTGAAACTGCTCCTGCAGTTCCTGTTACTTACTTGGATCAAAGAAAACAATGGCCTTCAAACAGGCAAACTCTGTGTCATCTATCTGCACTTCTGTCATTGGTTTGACTAGCTCATCCATGACCCGGGTCCCTACACGACTGATGTCTAAGTCTGGTGACACCCCAGAATCTGCAATGTTTGTATCTTCTCTTATTTAAGAAATTAGACATGGGAACATCAAGCCAACATTCATAGTTGTTATAATTCTTGTGTAAAGCACATACAAATGTTGTAAAATAGTAAAATTAAAGGTTATTACTGTTTTGTAGAACACATCTTGGTAACTTTTTAAAGTTTTGTGTTACCAAGACTGTAATGGAACTTTCATAATATGAAATCAAACACAAAATAAAACTCCACTGAAACCAAGAATTGATACAAAAATTTTTAGTAAAAACACTGTCTGCACCAGTTTTCTTGAGCTCATGCTCAGGCTTTTGGGGAGAGAAGTGGTGTCTGGGAGGATGGTGTATGTGCTGCTCTGTTCTACAGCCCAAAAGAAAACATGCTTTGTTGATGTCTGTACAGAGAATACAGAGCTCTAGGTGAATACCTGCCACGCCATAGCAGTGCTAGAGAGTACAGGGCTCAGGAAAACTAACACAGACAGTACCCCTATTCCGATCATGTGAAAGAAATTCTTCTTTTCAATATAAAAGTCTAAACCACATACCTAATTAAAATAAATCAAACAAATGCTGCAAGAGAAAACTAATAATTAATTTGCAGAGTGGGTTAGTTTTACTAGTTACACATAATTTTTCTGATATTCGTTGATCTTCTCCACTCTAATTAAATTTAGACATTAAATCTCTCTTTTGCTTTTCAGATCTCAACATGCTGATGACAGAAAGGATTTGTACCCCTAATTAATAACTAATAAAAATATTCATCCTGAATTTGACCGACGGACCCTCTACTTTTAGAATCAGAAGGTTCAGCACCATCTATATCAAATCCTGCCTTTGGACACAGTCATGAGTCAGTACCGTTCATCTCTTGCCCTCAACTTATTTCTCTAAACTGCATATTAATGTTATCCTCTCAACCCCTTGGTGTTACAAAGCTTTCCCCACTATGAGACCCATATTTATGTCTTTATAATGCCTTAATGCCTGTAAAATGGATTTTAGAACAATATGCTATGTAAGTAATGGCTATATATTTTATTGTCATATGTAAAAATGGCTGAATCACTCTTTAAAAAGAAGTACAGTTTAGACTAAGTTGTCAGTTGTTGGGTATATACATACATACATCTCATATCAATCAATATCTATCTGTACTGTTTTAGTTTACCTAATCATTCCAGCTGCACTATGGCCCTGGGGTGACTCAGCCTCTTACAGAAATGAGTACCAGGAATATTCTTTGAATGTTCTTGGGGGTAAAGGGCGGCCGGCACGTAAGGCTGACAACCTTACCGCCATCTATGAGCCAGTTGTCTAGAAAGTGTGGGAACCTCAACATCTCACAACCCTATGGGCCTCCATGGCCTGTTACAGGGATACCTTTACTTACTTATCTATCTCTACTGAGGATGGTTTGATGATGGCAGCTTGGTTGCCACAACATGTAGCTGTATAATATGAATGTGTTTTTAGGTGGTGGATGTAGGTGGACAACAACATAAGAGTGTAAATTACAACTACGAAGTGCTCAGGAAAATATTTTTGACTAAGGAGGCAGTATGGTGCAGAGTGAGGAACTGTGTGATTCACACAGGTCATTTGTACTGTTAGGATAATGAAATGTGATAGGCAGTTGGATGCTGGCTTATAACCACAGAGGCTTGGATTCAATCCCAGGATACCTGTTGGATGTTTGTTGTGATCAGAGTTGTTACTGGGAGATGTTTTTCTCCAAGTGCTTCAGTTTCCTCTGCAAATCATCATTCTACATGTTTCATACTAATTTACTGTAGCCTCTGCAGTGTGCACTGTTTATGTGTATAATAGGCCTATGTTGGTGCTTTACCTCTGATCTGTTACTTCACTGGGCTAAAGAGCAAAGAATTTAACTTACTTGTGTATTCATTAAATTCTTGTATTTATCACTTCTGAGTTAGGTATCATGTGACAGAAAATTAAAATTTATATGAGAGAGAGTGGATGCACAGTCATGCATTCCTCATTTATCTTTATAAAGAGCCTAGACACCGGATACACATTATTTTTGTCAAAAAAAGTAATGTACTCGTACTATCGTTGAAGAGTAAAGATGGTTAACAGAACATTTACCTGGACAGTGCCGGCCAATGATACAGTTGTTTCCGAGCAGCAAAACATCTTTGAGGTGCATGGAACGACGTGCCAACCCAAGCAGGAGATGTTCTCCAGCATGAGCTCGTAACAAGGCCACCTGATAGCAGTAGCACAGTGAAAATTATTTGATGTCTTCATGGCATAATGCATAATTAAGTAATTAATTTCACTTTGCCAATATACATAATTTGAGCCTTGAATAGGCTGGGAGGAATAATCAGCTGCTTTCATTATGTTAAGTGATGTAAAACTGGTTCACATGTGCCATGATATAATCAGGGTTGTGATTTATTTCTACCTAATTATCCATTACAACTTTTAATAGCAGAAACAATAATGACATACTCGTCAGTGATCTGATATGTATGATTCTGAGTGACTATAGACAGGGTTTGGGTTGGTAATTGGATCTGTTGACTATGGATCATTACCACAAGTGTATCACTTATGAAACCTCAGCCACTCTACTCTTTGTAAATCTATGATATTTCTGAACCAATCATAAGGATACTGGAACTTTATACTTCATCTTTGGATCATGATCAGGAATGGTCGGAACGTCCCTAAGAATACTAATTCGGGCCAAACTAGGTCAACCTGCATCACTAACTGGATATGACCAAATTTATAATGTAATCGTAACAGCCCATGCCTTCGTAATCATCTTCATGGTAATACCAATTATAATTGGAGGATTCAGGAACTGACTGGTACCTTTAGTACTTGGGGCCCCAGATATGGCCTTTCCACGAATAAATAACATGAGATTTTGATTACTACCCCCACCATTGACACTATTGACCAGAGTATGGTAGAAAGAGGAGCAGGTACGGGATGGACGGTATATCCACCCTTAGCAAGCAGAATGGCACAAGCTGGAGCATCAGTAGATCTTGCCATCTTCTCATTACATCTTACTGTTGTTTCTTCCATTTTAGGAGCAGTAAACTTCATTTCATCAACAATCAATATAAAGCCCATAAACATGAGACGAGACCGAATCCCACTATTTGTATGAGCAGTAGCAATTACAGCTTTACTTCTTCTACTATCATTACCAGTTCTAGCTGGAGCAATTACAATATTATTAACAGACCGAAATCTAAATACCTCCTCCTTTGACCCTGCCAGAGGGGGTGACCAAATTCTATATCAACACCTGTTCTGATTTTTTGGACACCCAGGAGTATGTATTTTAATTTTACCTGGGTTTGGGATAATCTCACACATCATCAACCTTTCAATTACAAATGTCACCGGTTGAGAAGTACCAAAGCCATCAGTTTTTCTCTGTGTACATACATGGTTAAAATTTTAAAGTTCTGAGTACCTGATCATCCAGCGGCAGTTCTATGAAAGCCGGGATGTATTTGGCCCACTCTACAAGAATCAATAATTGCTGTTTCATTGAGTCACAGACATCGTTGATGTTGGCTATCTGTTTGTTTGATAAGTTGTAGTCACTTTCTGGTGAGGTCATCTGTAACAGAGGGAAATTGTCTGTATATTTATATTCATTCTTGTGCTACAAGAACTTGTATTCCATTTCTCAGACTGGTGTTAAAATTTGCAAATAACATTACTCTGCCCATGTAAGGCCTTCCAAATTTAAATTATAATTATTTATAAGCAAGAAGTAGACCCTGGAGATACACACATATAGATTGCTGATTTTCTTTCCAAATGTAAATTTTAACGCTATAAAGCATGATTTTTGCAAGGATTTATGGTAATGGTGTGTAAGAAAATACTGCACGCTCTGTACTAACCTCTCCATGAATGTGAATATTCTCTGAAAAATTGGATAGGTCCTGTATGAAATTAATTGGTGACAAAAGATTTTTTCTCACTTTTTTAATTCCTATTCAGACCATTCGTAGTGCACGTGGCATGTCACATGATGACACCTGCCCCATTCACACAGCTGCAGTGTCACACCACACATAACTGATGTGAGTCCCAACTGGAGGGTCCTGAACTGGCTATGCCGACAAACTTTCCAGGACAATGCAAAATTTGTTAGTGTAAAAGGAGAATATCTTGAAAAGGAATGAGAGTCCGGTGGTCCTGGCATATATGTTCTTTTTATAACAAAATATTAGAGTCCAAGTAAACGGTGAACCATCCTAATATTAAAATTCAAGGGCTTTCTCTCACAGCAGTAATACATGTGTCCTTATGCACTGATGTCCAGGTTTACCTCCAGATTTATTTGTCAAGACTTCATTTTACATACCTCAAGTGCTGCTCCAACTTGACGTGAAAGCATCTCTGCATTTAGCAAGGATGCACATGACAGTCCATTTCCTGAAGCCTGTTCCTCATAGCTAGTCCTCCGGGAACTGATACGATCTCGCTCATTTTGTACCGCTGAAAGTAACATAGTAATCTATCAAGATAGATCAAATTCTGTGACAACTTATTCTTTAAGTCAACACTTAATTTCTCATTTCTTTCATTTATCATCTGCCGCCAATACAATAGGCCATTTATGGTGTATTTATTAGATAATTCACTCCTGAGGAAAGAGTATCCAGTACCCTTTGAAGAGGAGGCTAGGATGCTAATCTGAACATGGCTGTGAAGGAATTCATAACCCTGCTAAGAATCCAAGTTTGCCTAGTCACTAACCAGTCACTTTACTGACTGAGCTATACCCCTCAATAGTATTCATAAAAAAACATCAAATAACAGTTTATTACAAAAGTGTATTGAAACGCTCGTTTATTTTTTTTGGGGGGGGGGTATCAGTTGTCAAGAAATTCACCTCCTTGTGTGGAAGCAAAAGGTTCATTTACTACATTCATAACAGCCCACTGGTCTCTATCCTGAGCCAAGCAAATCCAGTTCTGCCCTCCCAACTATGCCTAGGTTCTCCAAGTCTTTTTTTTTATTGCAGGTTTTCCACCAGTCTTCTATGCATACATGTATCTCACATCTTCCATGTGTGCTACATGCTCAGCCATATCATCCATACAGAATTACTCGATTTTTGGACTTTTTCCATCATTGGGAATTCTAGGTAACAGAGGCCATGACGTTTTGGAAACTGGATCTGTTTCCATCTTCAGGTGAGAAAGGAAAATACCTACTCAGTTGGGCCCCTTAGAAACTGAGTAGGTGCCTTCCTTTCTCACCTGAAGGCAGAAACAGATCCAGTTTCCAAAATGTAATGTCCTCTATTACCTAGAATTCCGGACAATGGAAAAAGTCCAAAACCCCAGTAATTCTGTGTGTCATCCACCATCGTCAGAACCCTTTAGAATCTACTCATATCATCCATCTTAATTTGATCTTCCTAATAACATTTGCTTAAGAGTACAAATTAAAACATTCCTCGTCATGCAGTTTTCTCCATTCTGTTACTCCTTTCTTTGGTCCAAATATTCTGCACCCTATTAGTTGATGTTCATCACTTAATGCTAGACAAGATTTCATGCCCATACAAAACAGCATGTAAAATTATAGTTTTGAATATTTGAATCTTTATATTTTAAATAGCAGATGAGAAGATAAAAGATTCTGCACTAAGTAGTAACAAGAATTCATTTAATGTAATTTTCTGTTAATTTCTTCATGAATACAATTCTGGCAAAATGGACAAGAAGACAAAGTCAAAGAGCAAAACTTAACTTTTAGGAAATGGCAAGGGATCGATCATATTAAAATTAAAATGAAGACAGAAGACGCCAAATATTTATCGCATAATTAGACAAGTGCATGCTGCCAGAGAAAAATGGTTAACCCTCCTGAAGGGAATGGACAATAACAGACTCCCAAAAGGTGTAGTTAATTACAAATCAAAGGGATATAGAAATACATGTATAAGGATACTACTGAAAAGATCGCTATGAAATAAGACAGACTTGAACCTAATCCATGGATGGCAGAATAAGAAGAAAAAACTTGTTATTAAAATTCTGTATTCTTATGTCCTTTAAATGAACTTCTCAAGACAGCTATGAGCGTCTACATGTCTTACCTTCTTTCTTCATTCCAGCCTTGAAGCATTTGCGTAATCTACAGTACCGACACTGATTCCTTTTGTCCTTATCTACAATACAGCTTCTGCTGAACCTGAAAACACAAATCTTTGTATTGTAAATAATTGTGACTTGTATACTCTGCAGTTTAAGTACTGAAACATAATGTTTCTGTAATAAAATACAATTTCATAACACCTGCCCTCTTTTAGTTAATATGTGTTACCAAATACTGAAGTTCAGTGGCTAGCATTGTTGCTGTGTATTTGGGAGGTCGCTGGTTTTCTCATTTTGGCTAAACACTTCTTTTTATAACTGATGAAATCATTAGAAATAAATGCAGATTTGTGTTCTGCTTACCGGCATGTGTACAGATGATTCTTGCGGACTGACCTCCTGAAGAAGCCCTTGCAACCATCACAAGAAGCTGCACCATAGTGCTTGCCAGTAGCACGGTCACCACATATAGCACATTGCTGGCTGATGGTACCCGAGCCTGCCTGTAGACTGGCATGGAGGGTCGAGTTTCCTGCCATCTGCAGCTCCGTGTCTGCTGAAAATAAATCGGAATACTGCAGATACTTGTACAGTATCATCATATCAGCAAGTGAACTCTTCACTAGTTCAACCGTAAGTTCCAGGATGAACACTTTCATTACCTAGTTTCCTTCAATGCATGTATTTCTGCAGATTGGCCAGATCATATTTTGCATATTTTCCATTGGTATAGATTATAAGGCATAGCAGCCTTCACCAAGTTCGAAATTTTAACATGCAAACAAGTGTTATATACAAACTTGCTAAGAGTGATTATAGTCTATGGAGATACCGGATTTTTCATGGTTCTACAGTTATCACTCAAACTCATTTGCCTATCTGACCCAAAGTATGTGTTATGCTTGTTTTCTGTTAGGTTGAATGATACACTACAAGGACCAGTAACTGCATTCCAGTGGGCACCTTGACGCCCACTGACGAATTTCTAGATGCTTGAAAAATTTCTTAAATACAGTAATTTCATAATTGTCCCTGATGATTGCTAAGTATATGCTGATTTCTATGTACTGAACTTCTGTCCAGTGTTGAGGCTTCCTGAATGTTTGAATTCTGTTCGTGCACTGTGATTGTTAAGTGGTTCATATATTGACATATTATTCATTAGGCATTTTTGTGAGATGTAATGTCCTAAACAGTGTGCTGGAATATGTCTTGACATACGAACACAAAGTGCAAAACTATCTGCATGCAGCTGTTTGAGTTTAAAGGTAATTTCTGGTAAATGAGTGCAGTCTGCTTTAAATTATAAGCTGTTCCTATTTGCTTGTCACCCAAAGAAAGTTGGCCATCCCTGTTATATTCCATCTACAAGTTGTAATATGTGTCTGTTGGTCATAGTCTTATTCTGTTAATATTTGAGCTTTCGCGTTTGTGAAGGATCACTTTGTGATCTTCTTGGTTATGACACCCAGAACTCTGGTGAGTGGGTACAAATGTTTCGGAGGAATATTGCCTCCATCATCAAGGTAAAAATGAGGAGGGGCTAAACAAATCATGAAAGATAGGTGACCAATCAGAGCCTGGATAGGAAAAGGAGGACAAAGCATGGACAAATGCGAATTGTATGCCCTAAAAGTGCACCTACACAGACAAGGAAGACCAACAATGCTTGTATTTTCATGTACGGAAAAAAGGTTTTGTTTGGGGGGGGCATAGGCCCTAAAACGGGCAGCTTCTCAGGACCGGAGGAAGAAGCTGCACCAGTATATGCACAGAAGGAAAATTAAGAAGAGAGGAAAGAGAAAGTGCCCCTCTATAGATCCAAGGAAAAAGAGCCATTTTCAAGGCCACCTACAGAGTAAACGAAAATCAGGACTTATACTTTAAAAGACCTTGCATTCCTTCAGGCCGCCTTGACCTCACGAAGAAACCGTCTTTCCTGTTCATGGTGTTACGATGGAGCTCTGTAGCTAGCGATTTCCCAGTGATCAGTCCGTGCATCTAGAATCTTTGGCCAGGATATTGATGTCATGTATGTGCGCTGCTACAACTGACATCCGGATATGCTAATGGCGCTCTTTGACCCTAGTCACTGGCATTGAGCATGGCGTCTGCAGTAGAGGAAATGACACTCCAATATGTAGTCGTATGTTCAGTTTAAATGTTGACTTGAATTGTTTGATCTGCTGTTCGTCCCGATTAACCAGTGGAATCGAGTCATGTATAAACCAATCCATCTACTCGTATGAATCAGTTATACCGGCAAGACATGAGTATCCAAATTAAGTTTTAGGACCCAAATGTGTTAGATAGAATTGGTTGATCAAAATAAGTTACAGAACTGATGAGTGAGTTTTAGTTTCTGGAGGTACGCAACGGGACGCAAGCTGTTACATTTTTTAAAGCCTTAATTGAAATAAATTAATAACACTATTGGAGAACTATTACATGCTGACTGAGGCTGGAGTGGTCTCCAGTGGCATAACCTTTGTACCAGATTTCATGAAAATTGGTTAGTATATTCGATAGTTGAAAAGGGGGCACGCACACACGTGAGTATTCAGTACATGAAGAGAAGAGTGGCCTTCGACAACAAGCCCGCAAATCAGAATAGAAGGAACAGAGATGCGTTTTCTGTGTAGCAGCTGGATCCTGCTACTGGCATTTGAACCGAAATGGGGCAGTGCTGATATACCGATGAATTCTAAGTATAAGAGAATATCACTAAGAGGGTGCATTTAGGAAGAACAGATAATTCCTGATCCTATATCAAGCAAAAGGAAGGAGAGAATAAGAACATTCAAGAATGCGATGAAAAGAATAGTTTACACAATTTTGCGAGTTCCTTGCACAGCATGGACATAAATAAGAGGTCAAATCTGTTCGTCTCTCCGTTCACACGTGTTATTTCTGAAACTACAAAACGAATTTCTATTAGTTTTGTATTGAATGAATGAATGTATAAGGGGTAGGCTTTTTGGCCCTTGCACCGTGACCTATAGTGGTCTATTGTGTTTCTCCTTTATTGATGATCCCCTCAGCAGTCCCGCGCTTCCAATGAAGCGCAAGATCTTGTACGTGGGGGCGTCAGAATAGTCACTTAGTTCCATAAGATATTGACCCAAGTGACGTAATCTTAAATAAGCTAAGGCCTCACATTTGCACAGGATGTGTGTGGCTGTTTCGTTTTCTTCTTGACACCTCTCACAAGTGGGACTATCACTTAGCCCCAGTTTGAACAGGTGTCCTTTGAGGTGACAGTGTCCTGTAAGTAGTCCTACCACCCATCGTAGTTCGTTCCTGTTTAACTTTAACAATTCCTTCGTCCTCTTAGTAGAAGGTCCTCGTATGAGTCCCTTTGCTTGTCTGAGTCCAGTTAAGGATCCACAGTATTTCTTGTGTTGCATGTTTGTCCAGTCTCCAATCTTAGCTAATTGGCCTGCTGTTTCGTTTCCAGCAATACCCTCATGCCCCAGCACCCATATCAGTTGTACCCTGTTATGTTTGGCCAGTTCCATGAGGGTTTGGTGGCAAACCCAGACCAATTTTGTGTTGATCTGGTGTTTGTCAAGCGCTTTAAGTGCAGCTTGACTGTCAGATAGAATGTAGATGTTCCTATTTCTATAGTTCCTATCTAAATTCTCCATAATACATGCCTTAATGGCATATACTTCTGCCTGGAATACTGTCGTGTACTGCCCAAGGCTGAAACTAAGTTTCCGCCTTGTGCCATAGGAGAACACACCAGCTCCAGTGCCCTTATTTATCTTGGAACCATCTGTATACCAGATCAGTCCCCCTTTTCTATCTGGCCGAAACCCGTCTTCCCATTCACTCCTGTCAGGAAATCCTACCGTGAAGGGTTTTTCATATACATGTCTCAGTATCATTTTGTCAGACCCCATTTGTAATATGGATTCTTTTTCATGTCCTGAGTTATGTATGCATGGCCGAAACCATCGGATCTAGGTATCCATTGATCACTGCACTGGAGACGGTAGATTCCTGCCCTGGCCTCTGGCCTCTGCCCTCTGCCTCCAACTGTAGATGCAGTGGAGGGAGTCCAAGAAGTATCTCCAGTGCAGCTGTTGGAGATGTTAGAATTGCTCCTATGATACCTAAGCAAGCCAACCTTTGCAATTTGCTAAGTTCTGCCTTGCTTGTCTTGAGTTTAACTCTGGGTCACCAAACTCTGGCACCATAAGTAATTATGGGTCTTACAACCGCAGTATATATCCAATGTACAACGTGCGGCTGCAGTCCCCAAGTTTTACCAAACATGGTTCTGCATGTCCAAAAAGCCTTATAGGCTTTGTTAATGACTTTGTCCAGCTGCTTTTTCCATGTCAGTCCCTTGTCTAATTCTAGACGAAGGTACTTGACATCGCTGGAGAGCTGGATTGTCTTACTGAAGAGTGTCGGTTCCTAAAGGTCCTTTATATTTCTCTTCCTAGTAAACGGTATAATTACCGTCTTATTGGGATTGATGGAAAGACTTGTTATTTCACCCCATCGTTGGACCATGTACAGAGCTTTTTTAAGACGCTCTGATAGGTCGAAATGAATTTTCCGTTTATGAGGATTGCAGTGTCATCAGCATGTCCTACTGTATAACACCCATCTTCATTAAGTCCCCACTGGAGATCGTCAACAACGAGGCCCCACAGCAGACGCGAAAGTACGCCCCCTGCGGACACCCCGTAGACGCGGACGCCCCACCGGTTTCTCCTGATAATGTAGCAGCTATGGTTCTGCTTTCTAGCATAGCATTGATCCACCTACATATTGCAGGCTCTATGCCATGCCTTCCAGCAGCCTGTTTGATTACATCAAATGAGGTTCTATCGAAAGCTCCCTCTATGTCAAGGAATGCTCCTAAGGCAATATCCTTGTGTTCAATCGCACTTTCTATGCGTGTTACCACATTCTGTAGTGCGCTTCCGGTAGATTTACCTCTTTGGTAGGCATGCTGGTTTGGTATTAAAGGTGCACACCGAATATTCTCCGGCGTATTTAATTTGAGTTCCTATCATTTTAGTGCAACCGAGAAGGAACTTGATATATACTGACCTAATTAAGGTTTACATCTTTCATTTGAATCAGTTTCCATGTGATTAGTTTTTAACGAAATACAATAATTTCATAATCTCCTCTGCAGTGTAATATCTGTGTAATAATTAGCTCTGAAGTAATAGATTTATTTATATCTTCAATGAATGAACGTTAAGCCTAATGATGTATGAAAATTCGCAAAGAACATATTTGAAAATTGTTCTCCACTGGAGTAGGCATAGAGTTTTCACCTTGTATTTAAAAATGTTGAAAAGTAAACTTAATAATCATAAGCGGAGCCGAAGTGAGCTTAATTTGCGGAAATGATAACAAAGAAGAAGAGGATATAATGCAGCACAGCATTACTAACACCCCGGATGCAAGCAAGAGAATGACTCAAATGATCTGAGTCATTTTCAGCCAGGTTCATGGAGACATGTTGCTCCTAGAAATAATCACCGACCTACTTAGTCATTACATGACAGCTAATTTTCTTAAAGCTGT